TCACCAGCGGACGTGTTAATCACAGACGCCGATGTGCTGTCCATACCCGGAGGCTACGCAGGTGCTCCATGGCGGCGCCCATTCGCAGAACCACTTTCACAGGCCGTGCTCAGGGGCTTTTGACGCATTTCCGACCACATTTGACGACCCTGAGATCCGTCCGCTCCCTCCCTCCCCAGCTCACTTGGCGGATGCTCCGGCCTCCGACATCCTGCAGTCCACGGCGCCAGGCCTCACCCAACGAGAGCAGCCCGCGGCGCCAGTGGCGCGGGTGCGGCTTCCGCCGAGTCCAGCCGAGCGCCGTCCTGCCCGCCCGCCCAGCGTCCGCCCGCCAAAACAGCGCGGCATCCGCCTCTCGAGCCGGCGCCGCGTCCCCCGACCGCAAACCTCCAGCTCTCAGCGCGTCGTCGGTCGCACGACTGGGATGACCCGGTTCTGTGCTGGGGCGGGGTGGTGGTGGGGGTGGGGGTGGGGGTGGCGGTAGGTGGGTGGGCCATCTGGGATGCCCGTCTGGGTTGGTCTGTCCGTGAGCCGGGCATGAGTGTCGGCTTCCGCCGGCGGTATTGGCGAGCACAGACCGCTGTGGAGCCCATCAGTCGACACACCCGTCCCGACACGCCACGATAGTACATATCCGCGGCCGTCAGAGGGCCCGCCCTGGCGGAGGGGACGGACGCTGGCCGGCCCCGGCCGTGGCGGCGCGGCGAGAGGGCGGCCGTCGACCATTTCTTGGCGAGCGTGACCTTGGCAGGGTAGCTCGGCCCGGTACCGGGGCTGGCGACCACACAGGGCGGCAGAGGAGAGCCCTCTTGCCCTCAGACGGTCGGGGAGAATGCAGGGGAGACCCTGTCCGGCCTCAGACCTCCGCAGCGGACGCAGGGGAGACCCGGTCCGGCCCCAGACCTCCGCAGAGGACGCAGGGGAGACGCCGTCCAGCCATGAACGTACCACAGGAGAGGCAGGAGGCCCCGCCAGGCTCCAGACTCACCACAGAGGAGACCTCGAGGAGGCCCGGCAAGGAGCCAGATGATTCAGAGAACATCACAACACGTAACCGTGACAAATGTTGCAGCTGATCAACCGGTGAGGGGGAGAGAGTTGTGAGCCGGTGACCGGCAGCCAGCGAAAGGGAGAGGAGGAAAGGGAAGGGACGATCTGGCACCGCGATGTCTCAGAACTGGTGCAGCCAGCTGGAGGCTACGGGGGCGGGGGGGGGGGGGCGCGGGGACACCAGCAGCGGCTAGTCTATGGCGACCTGACTGAACAGCGCGCACTCCCAGCGTGGCGTCTCCAGTCTGTGGCGACCTGACTGAACGGCGCGCACTCCCAGCGTGGCGTCTCCAGAGGCCGGCACATGGGTCGGCCTGATCAGCCGGCGCCTGTCATCGCTGGCCGCCATCGGCGGCGGATATGACGGCGGGGTGCTGCATCCCAGGCCAGCGCCGGCCCGTTAGCGCGGCCAAACCGGTCCACCGGGCCAGTCAGGTGCAAGGTGGGGTGACGTCACCCCAATGAACCGGTCCTGGAGCCGTCACCAGACCGCACTCCTGCACCAGGCCGAACCAGGCCGGGCGGCGAGGAATTGAACCAGACGTCAGGTGATCAGGCTGGGTGTCGTGTGACTAGACCGGACGTCCAGTAATGAGGACGGTCGTAAAACGGCCGTGTGCAAATAACCAGAACAGTGTAAAATGATCTGTCCGGGCGTAAGGCGATGAGACCACTACAGTATGCCAACTCGTAAAAAGCTTAGAAATGCATTTTTCTATCCAGCTCGAGCCCCCCCCCCCCCGTCCCACCGAACATTGAGAGGGAAGTGGCCAGATCCGGGGGCAAGCATTGCTAAGAAGAAACACATTTTTGGGGGGGGGGGGGTGTTTTGGAGTGGGCTTTGATATTTTCTCTTCCTCAGCCCACCACCCGTTCCCAACTTAATTTGCTGCAAATGTGTTCGGCAAATATCCGACGGAGACAGAAATCAGCGGAAAATGTAATCTAGCGATACATAGGAGACCAAAATTACGAAAAGAGCCCAAAACTGAGAGTCCGAAATCGTGCGCAAAATGCGTCATGTTCCCTTAAAATATTACATTTTGACACTCTGGGCCGGTGTTCAGTGCTTAAACCCGTCGGCAGCCAACCATCAGATGTGCGAAGTGACCAGCACGGAAGTGGAGTAATGACAAAGCGTAAAGTGATCAGAACGGGCATCAAATTACGCCAGGTGTGCAGTGGTGACACCAGCGTTAAATGATTGGACCTGGCGTAGGGTAATCAGAATTCGCGCCAAGGACAAATGTCCGTGCGACCAATGGCAAAGTATGATTTAGAGAACACGCACTAGGCTATCTGTCTGTTTGTGGTTTTGTGTTCTAGAACATCTGGCGCTGCATCGGCGATGGCGGTTTGGCCCCATGGCCGATGGGCCAGACGAAAACGCCCATAGCCCCTGTATCGGCCATGGCTGGTTTGGCCAAACCGACCCCCAGTCACACACTAGGAAAGGTGGCAAGACTAACAAAGCTGGCCATGGTTACTGATTGCACCATCATTAATTCTCACTACAGATCTGGCTAATGCTAGACGTCAGTCCGCTGAAATCACGACACCTGTATCATCATGCAAGGCCCCTTCGGAGAGCCAGCCTTTCGGGGCGGCTTAGTTTCCAGCTACTTTGCTTGCATGAGTTCATGAGGATGCAGCGATGACAGCCTCCCCTTCCAACACGGCCGAATGCTGGCGTTCAGTGGAATTCCGTTCCATGAAAGCAATTCGCATCGCCGAGGTCTCACATCTCCACATAATCCAAATCGTGTCGGACAGGCCGGCCCGCGGTACCTGCCCCCACTGCGTGCCAAACAGGCTGGGCAGCGGACAGATTCTGGCATTCGCTCAGCCCAGTGACGTCAGTTCCCTTCAAAACACCGTCCCCGAGCGTCATAGTGGCAGCAGCAGTGGGAGGCGAGGCAGCGGCGACGGCAGCAGTGGGAGGCGAGGCAGCAGCGACGGCAGCGGTGGCAGAGGCGATGACAGTTGGGGTCTACCACAAACAATGAGGCCGGCAGCAGGAGAACAGACGGCAGCGGGGGCAGTGGCGGCGGGGCTTCAGCTTGCGATCCACCCAGGTACCGGCCGCTGCCGCTGCCGCTGCCACCGCCGCCTCTGCCTCCTCACGCGGTCGGGTCACACGCCGCCCGGCCGCTGGCCGACGCGCCTATAGTTAGTCCGCTAATACGACAGCCGCCAAGAGAGGCGTCTTATTTTTGGCAGCGACGCGTCGCCGTGTGCGAGCGAGTGCCTCACGCGCGGCCGGCCTGATTCGACCGCAGACTAAACAGCGGTCGGGGCGGGGCGCGGCAGGGCCGCCGGACAGCTGGCCCTGCCGCGCGGTCAACACCTGAGGGGAAGGTCAGGGCATGTGGCCGCCTCTGGCAGGTGTGAAGGGACTCACAGACACCATCTGTTGCGCTGAACACCAGTGAGTCACCGGTTCACGGCAGGTCATGGCGGACCCAGTTGTCCAGACAGGGTTAGCAGTGGGTTATAGCGGGGCCGGGTGTCCAGACAGGGTTAGCAGTGGGTTGTGCCGGGGTCAGATGCCCGGACAGGGTTAGCAGTGCATTTTGGCTTACCCAGTTGTCCAGACAGGGTTAGCAGGGGATTGTGGCGGGGTCAGATGTCCAGACATGGCTAGTAGTGGATTATGGCGAGGTCGGGTGTCCCAGACAGTGTTAGCAGTGCACTATGGCTTACCCAGCTGTCCAGACAGCGTTAGCAGGGGATTATGGCGGGGCCGAGTGTCCAGACAGGGTTAGCAGTGGATTGTGGCGAGGTCAAATGCCCAGACAGGGTTAGCAGTGGATTGTGACGGGGTCAGATGCCTAGATAGGGTTAGCGGCAAACTATGGCGGGGCCAGTTGTCCAGATAGGGTTAGCAGTGGATCATGGCAGGATCAGGTGTCCAGACAGGGTTAGCAGTGGATTATGACAGCGTCAGGTGTTCAGACAGGGTTTACAGGCGGATCACAGCGGTAACCGGCACCCGGACAGAGTTAATAGATGGGTCAAAGCGCGACCCTATGTCCACGAGGCACATTCCACACAGCCGGGGAGCGGCAGACGGTGGTGACCGGCTGGTGGAGAGGGGGGGGGGGAACAGGAGGAGCAGCCGACCGAGCGGTCCCGCACGAGGGTCTATAACACAGTCCGGCAGGGCCCGACGGTCGGGCCGTAGCGCCGGTCCCTGCTGGCAGCCGGCGGTGGGCGTTGAAGTCCTCTCACAGAAATAGAAAACCAACTGTCCTGGCGCGGCCGCGCGCCGCGACCACTTACGGCGCCAACGCCACAAGTAGACGGGCCAGAGACGAAGGGAGAGAGGGAGAGAGAGAGAGAGCGGGGAGCACGCAGGGGATCGCTTCATACCACGACGGACATTCGGATTATCCCCACTGTGCGCCGCCGTGCGGACGGCGCGCTGAGATAGAGCAGCGTTCCTCCTGTCCACCAACTGTCATGCCGCATTCCCCAACATAGACGGCGGCGTTGAGTTGTTGGGAAGGCGGGCTCAGCACAACATTTATCAACAAAGGGTGCCTCACTCCAACATAGGCAGCGGTGTTGTGATGTTGGGGAGGCGGGCTCGGCACAATATTTATCAACAAAGGGGACCCCAAATGCAGCTTTCGTTCTAGGTTTGTGCCACTTTATTAAGCCATTTCGGGACAGTTCATGGCCACTGCTTTCCCTGATTTTTGTGTGTGTGTGGTTCTGGCGTTTGAGGGCCTGGAAAAGACGGAATGCAGGAATTGCGGAATGTGTTAAAATACAACGTCCATTCGTTATTCTTTTTCATGCTTTGTTATTTTCATCGCGTCAGTTTTTACCAACACGTTCGGAGTTAACACCGTTTTGTTCCGAAACTCAGCAGGTATCATTCCGCTAGTTTTCGCGCAGTTGGAAAATGGAAATGAATATCGAGATGAATTCAATAGAACACTTACCATTAGACGAATAATCCAAATTGTCAATCGAAGACCTTCTCCGGGTAAACCGGGACGGGTCGATGCGTGGTCGCACAAATGACTAGTTGGATGGCGTAGCAGGTTTCTAGCTTGAATTTTTGTCTATATTCCAGCAGCCAACCTCTGATCTTCAACCCAGAGATCAGCACGGAAAGCACGTCACGCGTGAAAAGAAACTACCAATGCCCCGCCGCAATTCAGGGTTGCTGCGCCCACAAGCCCGGCCGGCCCCCGCACCGCACCGGCGCACTCAGCTGACTGCCGCCGCCGCCGCAGCTGCTGCCGCCGCCGCCGCCGCCGCCGCTTCCAAGGCTGTTCACGTCCCGGTCAACGTTTTACGGGCACGTAGCGCCACCTATGCATAGGAAGATAAGCTGAAGTACAGGATAGGGAACACAGACGCTATAGGACATCTCATAATCGATGCAAACTCGCGCTCTGAGGAATGATTGATGGCTTGAATGAATGGGCTTCATACAAACGTCATGAGAAGCGTGGGAAAGGCAAAACCTCTGATATATATATATATATATATATATATATATATATATATATATATGTGTGTGTGTGTATATGTGTGTATGTATGTATGTATGTATGTATGTATGTATGTATGTATGTGTGTATGTATGTATGTGTGTATGTATGTATGCATGTATGTATGTATATATAGCATACGCTTACTACCAGTTTTTACAACCACGGCGCGTCGGCACAGCAATCAAATAGCGAAGCCTGGCAGTTTGCATCCGCTTCATATAAATGCACTTCTTTTGAGAAGCTGAAGCCGATAGCACTAATATGCCGATAGCACTCAGGGGCCGTGCCGAAGTTTTTCGGGGTCTTACAGAGACATCGTGGGCGTAAATGATAAACGAGGGTACATTGCAGATAAAAGTGAGGTCGCAAATTTGTATTGACGTGGTCAACCCATGTTCGTCTGGGAATTTTTATTCCTTGGTTGAATCGAGCAGTGGAAGAATTGCAAAACATGGTTTTGACCACACATGCAAATGTTCAGCCAAAACCCCGCTGCCAGGCGTTTCAGTCTCCGGAGGCCGCGCGACGTTGGCCGCGTAGTTTCAGATCAGGCGGAAGCTAGCGGACCGGCGAAAACGATATCGTTTCTGAAGAAGTATCTTAGGAGGATTTAGCACGCTAATTCATGCACTTAGGAGGTAGTTCTGAAGCACGTTCGGCCTGTGAAATTTGCATATGTTCTTATAGGAATGGATTAACATTCACAACGCCGCGAACCGGTGCTGGAATTTAGTGGAGAAACTACGCAAGTAAAGAAACATCTCTAGTTTCGTGCTGCCGTTGCTGGTTATCTTTTTAGAGGAAGACCTAAAATCACACAGGTAAAATAACGTCCTGTGTCCAATGTTATATAAAAAAGAACGTCACCGAATGTTATAAACCGTCCGACAAAAAAAGTACGCCACAGAAAATGCGTCGCGAAAAAACAGACAACGAAGCTGTTTGAATGTTATAAAACTCTGTCTGGGACAACTAATAGCGCCTAGTGCGCCACAGATGCAAAGAGACGTAGAATCTTGCGTCTGAAAAAAGCATCGCCCACCCTTGACGTTTTTTTTTCTTGACGGGTGATTTTTAGTCATACGATGGCTTATTTGGCCATGGCGGGGCTTATCCTCCATGAAGGTGACATCCTTCAAAGTGATGGACAAGCAGCGAGACGGTTGAGAAGGCGGCGAGATTTCGCCGTCAAACCACATGGAGTGGCCGTTGGAGGAGCTATTTAGGTGAGTCATTCGGAATGTCTGCAAGCGCATCCGGTCGTGCCTTCAGCGCAGTATGTGATGTGTGTGAGCGCCTAGCTGAGTAATGCTAACAGTCATACAAGGCTACATCAGTGCTGCCAGCTGACCGATATGGGCAGCTGTTAAGGTAACGCTGTTGGCCATATGCTCCAGTGGACGCAGAGTTACAATTTGTCGCACTCTTGCACGTTCTTAGTCGGTGCGCTCCTTGTCGAGTAGCGCCAGCAGTCGGGAAGCGCCGGTTTAGAATGGCGACGGTTACGGCGACATACTTTGCACTCATTGGTACGTTCTTGATGGCCGTGGGCAGCAAGCATGACTGGTTAGTACTCTTAACCAAAAACAAATTGGAATATATGACAAAATTATCAAAAATGATTGAAATGCAAAACATTACAATTTTAGATAAACAAGTCTTAATTAGCCCCCTATTATTCAAGGTACTATTGTTCTAGAATGTGCGCCAGCGTGACAGCTGTCTGCTTTTTGGGTTAAAAAATAACGTCAACCGGAGAAAACGACAGATTTTACGTCGCGTCTTCTTTTTTATAACATTGGTGAGAGTGCCGTTCATTTTTCGGTGCCGTGATTTTTTGCAGAAAGTGGCGTTCTTTTTTATAACATTGGCCTGAAGTCTATTTTTGAGCGGTACGAATCGATTTTGAAAGACCACCTGAATCATTATTTCACGACGGCTGTTGTCACGCGCCACGCGCCCGCCGCCGGGTATTAGCTGTAGCGGACAACGCTGCTCAGTTTTGTGAGAACTACAACATCGGCCATTGATGATATTGTTCCTAATATTGCAAGTACGCGGACTCAAACTTTTTTTTGTTCGTTTCGCATCTCGGTTCTGCAAGCCTTGCTACGCAGTTTGTTCCACATCTCAATTTGTAAACTTGTTACGCAGTTTGTTTCGCTCTGTCATCCTGAACAAGGATGGACGCCCTCCTTGGTGCTGCTTTTTTCATTGTGACCCTATCTGGATCCACCTTATTGAACACTAACGAAGCCCTTACCATTTCCGGGTAGGACGCTCGGTGGGTAGAACACTAGGGGACAGATTATAGTTTCCGATCAAGGGCTAAAGGTCATTTCGTTACAGCGCGAGGTGCCTGCCGGCTGCCATGCCGGCGACGCAGGGGCGGTGTACCAGGTCGATACAAAACCCCTTAGAGGGGTCGGTCGGTCATATGGCCATACACTGGTCGTCTACCTGACAACGGAGACCCCGTGACCCAGGAAATTGACCCTGATAGCCGCAAGGGCCCTCATTGATGCAAAAAATCCTTGATCGCCGCAGTTGTTCAATAATTGGCACAAGTACTCCTGTTTGTGATACGGGCTGATGGCTGAAATGGGATCGAGAGCACCCATTTCGCTGCTGGGTCCCTGGCTGACATAGGACCTTCCATCGTCTCATTGTTGACGCCCATCGTAAACTCTCATTCACTTTTGTTGTCGGAGGGCCCGACCAACACAAAAGGCCTTCCGACATTGGGGGTCCCACTTCCGTCCCAGCTCAGCAAATGTTACCTGGGCTGACTCGGCGCCTGTTGTCGACACATGACACTGTGGTAGGTACTGTGGGCTGGTCAACTATGCAGGGGCCCTCGTTGTTTCAGGGGTCCTGAACAATACAGGTCCCTTATTAGGCGCCACGGCCCCCTGACCAACACGAGGGACCCGCACTAACTCAGGAGTCCCGTCCAGTGTACATCGCGCGCCCCGACCTGGTCCCTGGTCGGGGAATTGGTCCTCAGCCCCAGAACTAACGCTGGAGTGATCTGGTGGCGAATCCGTCGCGTGTCACGGTCGTTAAGCCTCCACCACAGTGGTGTAGCTTCGCAAAATACATCGGTCGCCCTAATACACAAGAACACAGATTTCTTTCCGGATCTGACCCACTTTCATCTATGGTTGTGGGGTTTGAGCCCCCCCCCCCCTCCCCAATTAAATAGGAAACTACACCCCTGCTATTACACGTTTCTTCGCTGTGGCTCCGCGGAAGATGTTGTCATTGAGCATGATTAACATTTTATGTGACGTCGATCGCCGAAACCAAGCTTCGATAATCAACAAAGTGTCGACGATTTGTGGTTTCAGCTATTGTTGGGCGTGGAGTAAAGAGTGTAAGCTGATGTGTGCGATTCCTAAAGGGCGCCACGTAAACTAGGCAGCCGCACGGAGGGGTGCAGGCTGCAACGCGGCACTTGCTTTAGACGTGTTCGACACGGCTAGTGTTGTTTTCGTGTTCCTTGTTGGACACTTGCCGCTATCGGATAAGACGGCTGGTGTCGATCGCCATGTTTGTGTAACTGTTCCATCAAATACTCAGCCGGAAAGGTCAGTGCCTTCAGGCGTTCCCTCAAACGTATGCGGCTTGTTAACCTTGTTAGGTTTTTAACCTTGTTAGGTTTTATAATATTGTTAGGTTTTTGGGCGCCAATATTTGTCAATATAATAATGCCGAAAACTCTCAGACAGCAGTACAACACTAAACCATAGTCAACAAAGCATATGAAATGTGCAATAAACAACACACAGCATGCAGAAAAAACAGAAAATACTCAAGTAAACATGGTATGAGCGCGGGGCTTTTAAAACGTTGCTAGCTGCAGTCAGCTGCACTCAATTGAACGTAACATCGCATTTTTCATCTTTTATGGTCCTTGCTTCCCTGGCACAAGTTGCAGAACCCTACATAAATTCATATTAATGTTTTCCTCCCATGTTTAATGTCCTGGTTATCCTTAGGCGTCAGAAGGCTGAGGGGGGAGACAAACTCACTCTCGATGAGGGGGCAAATTGGACATTGGGGGTAGACAGTCGACCACCCAAAATAATTCAAATTGACACTCCTGCCGTGGGGGACGTGGGGGTCTGGGGGACGCGTTCCCACAACCTTCAGAACGTGGGCCCCACTACCTCAGGGAAACCCGTAATTTTCGAACGCATGTAAATGCGTTCTGGCGAGGCGAGCTAAAGAACAAAATCTTGCACAGCACGCTTTACGCGCTTGACGTGACTTTTACAGCCATACTGGAGACCCTGTGGAGGGCGGGAGGGCGGGGGTCTGGCCACCCGGGCTCCGGAGCACCAGAAATCTGGGCGTTTGGAGGTCCAAGTGTCCTTTGAGAGGATCCTATTCGGCTCGCGCAGCTGGAAGAAATTGAGCGTACGCGACGAAAAAAGCTCCAAAAAGAGTTTCTTTGGCAGAATATATGTCAATACAGTACTAAACTGTTCCTTCTTTTTGTTCAGCAGACTCCATGTGGCTGTTTCGGGCCGCTCTGGCCATTCGCTGGGCTCTTTTTGGCCACCAGGGGCACACTGCCTACAGCTACTTAGGGCACACAGTCTGGATAGGTACTTTGGGCATGTTTTTCTAGCTGCTTAGGACCCTTTGGCGTTCAAGAGTCTCTTGAAACACCAAGGAGCCTTGGAACTATCCAAGGGCTATTTGGCTGCTTAGGGGTCGCCTAATGCCAGGTGAGTTGCAAGTAATTTTCTCAGTCAGTGCCTGTGCACGGTGCGCTTGGTTGTTTAATTGCGTTAATTTAAGGGCACCGCCTCCACTAAAGTAATCAAGATGTCTTAACTTGCACATTTTAATCCCAATTCTCAGCCAAAATGTGTGAGATGCGGGGAAAACTCACTGGTTTTGCTGAATAATGCACAACCAGTAATTTGCGTCGAAGGTCTGGAGGTGACCACTGCGGCACGAGCGAGAGGTGATAAAAAGGAATAAAAAAACAGTGACTGCCAGTGACCTTGTGTTCAGTGACCTTGAAACTCGCCTACCTGCCTCAATACGCGGTTTTCAGCTTCTATAGCCACATGCAGATACCCCCTGAGTGGGCCGAGGAGCCGGCGCCGCTTCTCGCCATGCTCTCGCGGCGGTCGTCGGGCGGCGGCGAGGTCGCCGCGTCGCCGGGCGACGACCGCTGTCTCTCGTCGTCCGAGCCGGCCCTGTCGCTGCAAGGCTTCACCATGTCACTAGCGGATCACTTCTTGCCGCGCTCACGCGGGGCGTCCGTCCCGCGACAACAGGATTACCAGCGCCGGGCGTCTCGCACCACCCCGGACATTTATCCCTCACCATCACACCGGGCTGCGGGCTTGGCGCACCTCGCGCCGAGGCAGTGATTGGTCGCTGCATTCACAATGGGCCGAAGCCCGCCCACGAACGCGGTGAGGCTCGTCGCTAATTGGGTCCTGCGGCCACACCCGGTCAACTGGTGGAACGTTCCGCGGCTCGGACGCATCCACAGATTGCGGTTTGTCCACGGTCAAACTGAGTGAGATCAGAAATGTCCACCAAAACGCGAATTAGGACCAGAATGGATTTAAAAAAACTTAGGACCTCATATGGACTGCAGGGATCGAAAGCTGACTTGAGAATATATTTAGGAAGGAACTTCAATGCGTGATCGGGTGGCCGGTTGAATACCAAACACTCAGGTGGGGAGGGGCGCAATTTGCCACCCCCATGAGATCTCAAAAAGTGAGAGAGCAAGACATCAAATTTATTTTGGAATAGGTGGGCCTGCATGTCAACTCCATTCTGCCAGCATTTGAGATTCTTAGGGCACGACCTACGGGTCAAAAGAGGTCGAACAAGATAACTTAAAAATTGGTGTCCAAAGTGCCGTTAGACCCCCTATGCAACCGCTTTGGACCTAGATGTCTGTTTTAAGCGGAAGACCACTGGCGTCAATTTTAGGTGAGTGATCTTGCTTGACATTAAGCACGACATGGTAAATAAAATCCTACGAGATCGTTTTGATTTTTTATTTGAAGAAGCGTCAATGATTGTCTTAGGCGGTATGCTCTTGGAGAGCAAAAGTTCGATGTGAGCGATTTTAAGTCAGTGACCTAATAACCTACTCTGAACTCTACAAAATCCGTGGAAGATGTCTGTCGTGGTCCCTGAAGTCAAGATACTTGAAATTAGCATCAGAAGCTACCCCATAAAGAAATCTAACCATCACATAAGCAGATTGGTTTGACCTCGTTTTGACCTTCATGGCTTACACAAATTCAAAGAAATTTATTTCAGTCATAAATTCAATTGTTTAGTTGCCTGGATAGACTGGCTGAGAGATGTACGGCTTCATCTAACACTCCGATGTCGCATCAATTGAACGACTCCCTTGGAATTGCCTTCGCTGACAGCCACGGCTTGATTTTGTTCGGCCATTACTCAGCGATCTTACAAGGTACGTCTAATTTTCAACACAAAAGTCCATTATGCAATAGCAGACAACAAACGCAAGCCGCCGTGCATTCCGGAAATTATTCTTGAAAAATCTGCGAGGCCAATTTGTCTCCCCATTTGGACGAGGATCAAATCGAAGAATGTCATTGGGTTCACTACAGAGCTTTGCCACAGGCTACAGAACTCATCCACATGTTCTTCATAATCATTTTATGACGACAGGATAGCACTGACATATACCTAAGAACTAGCAACACGTTTAGGTGCATGTTTAGAAAACGCAGCTTTTAATTTCTGTGAAAAAACTAAAATGCCAACAAAACATCAGATTGATGCAGCATAACTACCATCCACTCTGATGTCGAGGAATCCATTTAACCCAAGTGGATGTTATTACAGTCCAAATAAGCAAAAATGCACCATGAGGACAGATCTATCACCATGACATTTTGAGATTTAGTTCCAGTTCCAGCACCAGTTTCAGATCCGATGTGTCATCTTGCCTTGCCTTTTGGCTTTTTTATTACCGGCCAAGCCTGTGATCTCCACCTGCCCCAACTCACCTGGTTGGATTTGCGCACCTGGTGAGGCATGTCATGGGAGAGCTGGTCATTGCCAAAGCGGTTATCAAACTGGCATCCTTATTTAACATTCGTACCCGAGACTGGAGTTTCGGGTACGACTTTTTTCGAACTTTTTCGATTTTTTCGGGTACGAAAAAATTCATCATTCGCAACTGGCAGAACACCTTCGGATACCGCCTTGCGAATGTAACTGACCGACGCGCTCCCGCCATCTTTCTGGTGATTTATGTCATGTTTTCCGTCATCACTGCGTGGTACATATTTACCTGGTAAGGACTTATCACCTGCGATTCTCATAGTTGCTTCTCGGCTTCTCCAACTATATAACTGGCTTTTTGGAGCCGTTTATTTTTTACCAGGTTATCATTCCTAACTTGGCTTGATATTTGTAGAGGGGTGTAATGGCCGAGCGATTGGCGCCCCGGGCTCCCACTAGAGAGCTCGGGTTCGAATTCCAGCTGCGCCATGCCACATTGCGGTAATATCGCCCTTGTAGTCGTTAGCGTCCCATAAATGAGTGCACAGTGACATGCGTTTCCTTAACAAGAAGAAGGAAAAGGCATTTGTAGCAAACGTAGGCAAGGTGGGCGGTGTGGTTTAACGCACGGCCGGATGGCCGGTTGAATACCACATGCTCTGTTGGAAATCATTTGACGCCCCCCCCCCCCCCCGGATCTCTGAAGTAAAAAACCGAAAAGCGCCCAATTCACAGGATAGGCTGGTCTGTACGTGAGCACACTTCAATCAAAATTCGACATTGGGCATGACTTTTGGGTCAAATGTGGTCAAAAAAGTTAAACTACAGATTGGTGTCCAAGTGCTCCAGAACTCATGCAACCGATTTGAACCTAGATGCCTGTTCTAAGTAAAAGTGCACTGGTTTTTATTTCAGGTCATTCATCTTGTTTCACCTTTAGCACCTAATAGTGATCAAAATCCTACGATGCTGCTTTGATTTTTGCAGTTGATTGAGCGAAGAGGATAAGGATGGGTGGTGTCCTCTGAAATAACAAAAGGGTGGGTGATCTGATCTTCTGGGCAATTTAAGTCATTGATATACTCAGACCTCTAAGAAGTTCATGGAATATGTCTGTCATGGTCCCTGTTGTCAAGAAATTCGAAACGAGCATTGTAAACTACCCTATCAAGAAAATTATCCGGTAAAAACGAGTTAATTTCTACCTTGGTGTGATCTTTACATCTGGCCAGAGATCAATGTAATTTGATGTAAGCTTAAATTAAGTTGTCTTATGGTGCAAAAAAAAAACTAACTCGGAGATTTGTAGCTTCGTTTAGCGCTCTGTGTTCACATCAGATTGAAAGATTTCCTAAAAGTTATGGTTTCGTTTAACACTCTGTTGTCACATCTGATTGAAAGGTTTCCTAAAAAAATTCCTTCGCTGACAGCTACGGACTCACTTTGACATCAGATCTGCCATAGCTCAGCTGCCTGAACAGGTACATTTAAATTTTGTGCCGAGGATCCGCTATTCAGTTACCTACAGTTACAAAAAATTTGGCGCAGATACGCTGCCCCTTACGGAAATTATTCTCGAAAAAAACTTTCAAAGGGTTAAATTAACCTCCACCTGAGCGCGTGTTACAACGCACTTGGAAATTTTTCTAAAAAGCCTTCGGTTGAATGTCAGTTTGCTCCCTCCCCCCCCCCGAGTGCGTGTCTTGAATAAGTTTCAAAGGGTGCGGGGTAACCGCGCCGAGCTTTGCACAGCTGCAGGCAATTTAATACTGAATCTTTTGGTATTAAACTTGGATGTACCTTATAAATCCACCGGCCTATGACAAGTTAATTTACGCCCGACCAGAGGCCGAGGACATCGCCGCTCGACTTCCCTCTCCCCTGGCATCTCCAACCTCCAAATGTCGTACGAGAAAACAAAGATGCCGTTATGAAGGCCTCGTCAAATTTTGAGGAACGCATCCAAAATCCCTTACCGCGGGTCGAATATGATGTCACCATAGGTCACGAAAGGCAAAAAAGTTAATGTGATAGATGCAGTCAAATACATGTTAACACTAAGACGGATATTGAGGACACAAAAGCAAGCGTCAAGACTGGGCAGTCCATTCCGACCATGTCTGTTTCTCCGCAAGGGTCCGGTCAGATCAGGTCACCGTTCAAACTTAGTCTACTAGTAGCCTGCAAGAACGATGTCTTTTTGCTGTCTTTTATAATTTGCGCCTGACTGAGGTTATTTTATTAGGAAGACAAAAGTCTCTTGGACACAAAAATACCATTTTGGGCTCACCTCGAGGTCAGCTGAGGTCAACTGAGGTCAAATTCATAAGCCATCTAACTAAAAAATTTAAAGTGCTAACTGGGCTGAAGTGTAAAAGTTGGAAAGATATAATGCTTTCATGCGATCAGAAATAGTGTGTGCTTACATCCATGGGTACTCAATACCGCATAGTTCTCAGATTCATAATACATATTTCCTTCGACACTTGGCGATATGCTTGTAGCAAACTGAGGACAGATACGTTGGTACATGAAATTACACGCCGTCACTTTTACAAACACGATGTAGAAGTAGTCACACTCGTTAAACTCGTTCATCTAGCCCCTCCACTATTGACAACCGAGGTCATTGATCTTGAATAACATTATATGACCTTGGAGGTCCTTATATTACCTGTTGTAACCTCATCCTGCATTAGAATGAAACCACAACATGTTTCCAGTGTAAAGTGTCAATGCTTCGCCCAAAGTTACCTATACAGCTGCCTATTTTGAGCTCAGAATGTGTTTGGCTGAAGCCACTCATAGAGGTAGGTCACGACCTAAGCCCATACCATGTGCTCTCTGGTCATATGATGGTTTTGACGTGGGTTGATGCTATTTTCCTCACATAAAAACAAAAACTACACAAAAAGGCACAAATCTGTATTATTTATAAAGATAGCAAAAACTAACCCACCTCTGGCTTGACCTTTTTATAAAAATCTGACAGACACCCACCATGGTACTTTCATGTTCTATTACTATAGCAAGTTTGAGCAACAGCAACCAGCGATGGAAAGGTTATGCGTGGTCAATTTTTACGGAGAAGTTGACCTGTTTAACCTAATCTAGGTCGCTGACCGGCAGATCAATACTTTACGTTTATACAAAGGATATCGAACTGACAGATACCAATATCCTAAAAATTTGATGCTGCTGCAAGCGTTTGTTTTTGAGGTGTGCCCCAAAAAACCTTAGGGGAG